TATAATCTTCCAGAATTCAGTTCTGAAATTTACAGGTTAATAACACTGTATAATAGTATACTACCATATACTATTATTCATTTGGTACACATAATCTTGTAGCTGGCAAAGCTGGAAGGAGAACTCGGGTTTTTTGAGTCTCAGATCAATGCTATTCTCATCAGATCTTGCTGTTTATTCTTTTTGACACTGCTTATTAATCTGTTTTAAATATCAAGAGCATGGAAACTGGATAACAGTAAATCAAAAAAACCTTAAGACTTTGATGGTATCTCAACAGGTCAGCTTTTCTCAAAAGGTTTAGGTTTCGTTAGTGCAGGGGAAAGCTTCATAGGTAGAAGGTGTTTGCCCTACGACTTGTGGGAAAAAGTATCCCCCAACTTACTTTTATAGGTGACTAGGCATAAATTAGGTTGCCCAGGGCAACCTGTAGTGTTTTCCTTGTTATTGTTAATACTATCTCCTTCAGTCACTAAGGACTCTTCCTTTTATGAAATACACCCTCTCTACTAGTGGTTCTAAAATTCTGATCTGCTTTGCCTCAAAATGTAATACAGAAAACCGAATATAGTCNCTACTAGTGGTTCTAAAATTCTGATCTGCTTTGCCTCAAAATGTAATACAGAAAACCGAATATAGTCGAAACAGAAGGCAAATTAGCTGTTAAACTCTGCTGGCAAAATTTGTATCACAAAAATCTAGAAAAGTGTCTACCTAAATCTTTTAGATCTCCAGGATAATTCACAAATGTTTATAGATTCAGAAACAAAATACCCATTGTTTTTACTTTGTCATAAGCCCTCACTGCAGCTTTCTTATTTGGGTTTTACCTTTTTCAAATCTGATAGTCTTAAAATTTGGAGTTCAAGCTAGATACATTTAAAAACAAAACAAAACAGCTTAATATTGTACAAAGAACAACAAAAGGATTACTTAAAATTCTGCCAGATAACATATGTCATCAACTGTTATACACTTAAGGATAAGAAGGTTAATTAAAGTTGTAAATGATTAAGGCTGGCTAGTTAGCTCAGCTGGTGAGAGCCAGGTGTGCATAACACCAAGGTCAAGGGATCAGATCCCCTTATCATGCAGCCACAAAACAAGAAAAATGTAAATGATTCTTTTAAAAGAGATAAAGTCCTATAATTAGCCCATGAAAATGCCTTGAAAAGCATAAAAATCTACAACTAGGTGGTACTGTATTAGTTTTCTTACTAATTTAATTTTCGGATTCTACTAAAGTTAGGGAAATCCAGGCCACTTTGACTTTTCAAAGTCCTTCGGTATAAGCACACACACACATTTATAGAAAAAGATAAGTGAAAACAATTCATTGTGTAATAAAAATGTCCATTACAGAAGCTGTAATTATAAAATTAAAAATCGTGCTTTTTGGTGTGTGTCACAGTTGCTGTTAACTATAGTTAACACAAAAGCAAAAAAAAAAAAATAAAATTAATTTTGAAGCATCCTTTTGTATATGCTCAGGCTCACCAACTTCCTTAATATTTTCTTTCTTTTGTAAATGTAAAAATTCAGTGGTTGCCTAGAAGGGGTTTTGTGGGGGTGGGGTGGGAGTAGGTGGTTCCTCAGATTATGCTAAAGAATACCAACATTCAAGAACAACAAGCCCTCTGCCCAAACCCACCCAGTCGTAGGCCGTCTTTCTCGCTATCATCTTTGTTAATTTTTTCGGCAAACGCTGTCTTTTCCGAAAGTGGATGGCAAGAATACCGCCGAGCACCCAGGGACGCAGCCTTTCAACCGCACCCAATTAAAAAAGCAAAGGGAAAACGAACCGCTAGCTGGATCAATAGCGCCCAATCCAGGGAGCTGTCATCCGGGGTGAAACCGCGAATCCTTTCTAGTGGTTGCAGCCCGTCTCCTTAGCAACCGGCCGCGGGCGCCGGGGCCCGGATGTTGTGGGGATCCGCGGCCACCTGGCCCAATTTCCTGCAGCCTCCCCGCCGCGGACCGCGCTCCTCTTCGGGAGTCGTAGTTCTTCCCTCCGCCGCGGCGCGGCGTGAGGCGCGGGCGGGACTACGAGTCCCGGCATGCGGTGCGGCACCCCGCCGGCTGCCGCTTCTCGGCTGCGGACGCCTGCGAGCAGGTTGTTGTTTTTATGAAAGCGTCACTGACGCCCGGGCTGCGACCGCCGCCACCGTGACAGCCGGCGCAGTCGGGCAAGGTGGCGCTGCCCCCTCAGGTACGGTCCTCGGTGGGTTTAGATCCCTGGAGAGGGTTAGACTGCGGGGGTGTGGGGAAAGGGGCGAGGACGGTCTTTGGCCGGCACCCCCGGCTCGGCCGCCTCGCGGAGGCAGTGGCAGGCAGGGTCTCCCTCCAGGCTGGGACTGTTGGGGTGGGGATTTGACCCCTGGCGCGCGCGCCGCACTGGCGACCTTCTCGGGCCGCGAATTCACAGCCCCTGGGGCCCGAGCCAGCCCCTGAGGCGTCCGGTCCAGTGGTCCTGGAGGCTCCGATCCCCGCGTGCAGTCCCCGCCTGTGTGCCAGGGGTAGGGGGAGCTGGCGGCTCTGGGGACCCACCTCCCTTCACTGGGCGGGCTTGGGCGCTTCTCGGTTCTGACTGACGAGAATCCATATGGTAAGATGTGCGTCACTCTGCCGGGTGTTCTGCCGGCGGATCTTTTTTTGGTGACGTTTGAGCCCCGTGATGCCAGGAATAGAAAGATAAAGTATTGATAACGCAGCTGAGATTTCTGCTCGTACGCCAGCCTAGTAATGATCACAGCCCCTCTCTACCCTTCTTCCTTTCCACGGGCCCCCTTTAGCGTTGTCCTGAGTCGCAGCTGTCCCACGCAGTGCCTTGTGCGCGTTACATGTCCATCTCTGTTTGCCATTGGAAGCGCCAGTTTTAACGAACTCAGTGTTTTGTTGAGTCGTGAAATTTTCACTGCTTCGCTCTAGCTTTTTTAATAAAAAGAGTGGCGCTTTCTTGTAGCCAGAATAGGGAACTACTTTAGCACTGCAAAATTTAGGAGATTTGCCTACTTCCAGTAAGTTCACATCCACTCCACGGAATAGTGCTTGAAATGCCATTAATGCATAATATTTTTGGCTTAACGCTTGAACATTATTAGGTCCCACATTTCTCAGGAAGTGTTTATCACACAGAGCCAGTGCGAATGGTTTACTGTGTTTTCCTGAGCTCAGGTTATATAAGGAAGGGACAGAGAAAAGGATATTATTTTAATGCTTATTTTTTTTTTAATTTTTTTTTTTAAAGATGACCGGTAAGGGGATCTTAACCCTTGATTTGGTGTTGTCAGCACCACGCTCAGCCAGTGAGCCAACCGGCCATCCCTATATGGGATCCGAACCCGGGGCCTTGGTGTTATCAGCACCGCAGTCTCCCAAGTGAGCCACCGGGCCGGGCCTTAATGCTTATTTTTTTAACCCTTTTACACTTAAGGATGGAATTCCAGTCAATGAAGCTATTAAAATTGTTCCCACATAATATTTAAGGTTGTGGGAAATACTCGTTTTAAAATGAAAACATTAAAAAATAGTGTACAGTAATTGCAATTTTGTAAACTAAACCATAGAACGAGAAGTGATAATATTTCTATTAGAGATAAGACTCAAAGGATATTCACAGTAGTAAAAGTGATCAGATAGTGAAACTGCAAATGTTTTTTTCCTTTATACTTTTCTGTATTTTTCAGATTTTCTGAATAAAAAACTTAATTTTAAAAAAGGATGCAGCAATTTCAATTACACGGACTCTAAACATTATTTTAAAAAGCAAACAAGTGGGCCGGCCCGTGGCTCACTCGGTAGAGTGCGGTGCGGATAACACCAAGGCCACGGGTTCGGATCCCATATAGGGATGGCCGGTTTGCTCACTGGCTGAGCGTGGTGCTGACAACACCAAGTCAAGGGTTAAGATCCCCTTACCGGTCATCTTTTTAAAAAAAAAAAATAAAAAAAAAAAATAAAAAGCAAACAAGTAACAACAGTAAAAAAAGTGTGCAGAGTCCCTGTTGCTGCATCCACAGACTATAGGAATTTTAAGGTAAATTGGGGAGAATGGACAAGAAATGCATTAGTTAAACTAGAAAGAATAAAAAGCAGTTAGAGCAATAATTCTTAGCATTGAGTACTGTGTTTTATATGTCTGATATTGGATTATGTTTATTTTTGTTATATTTTCTATTATGGTTATTATGTTGGATATGGATGGGTAAGTAGCCCACATTTTGTTTTCTGTTTTAAAGAAAGGGCCACATTGTTCTGCCGTAGGAATATTCTGTAGTTTTGCTATTATCAGCTTTAAAAAGTTAGAGTTTACCTCAATGCCAAGTGTCTATTAACTCTTAGAAAAATATTTATTCTGAAGCTTTTTTTGTAGTTTTTCAGGCTGTGGTATTCATACTTTATTTTTTAGGTTGTCTTTGGAGCTTGCCTTCTCAAGTTTCAATTTCTTTCTTTTAATTTTATGTATTTTGTGTACTGTGTTGGCTCATTATATTATGTTTTGGGTCCATTCACAGGGCATAAGAAACATTCATAATTGATTAACATGTCTGATTTACTAATTCTTTCCATAGTATTGTTGTCAAGGTTGTGTAATTGTATTCTTATCCAATAAGAAAAAGAGGTGAATATGAACTGCTAAAATCACGGTAGTAGTAGTAGTTTCTGAACATGTTAAGAACATGGATACAGCAGCAAGGCCTGTTAAGCCCAGGATATCTTAAAACAGAAAATGCAGACTCATCTAACAATGCAGAACTACTAGAGGCTGAATTGTTTTTGTGTTTATGTGTGTGGTTAAGGTGAGGAAGTTGCCATATTCTAAGTGGTAACTATCATATTTTCAAGAATTTTCTTCCTGTTAGTTGTGCAGTTTTGACTAGAGTAAAAGAGTTAAGTTGGTTTCAAAGGTCATTTCTGGTGTGTTACATCAGATAAATTTGACCAAATCATCTTTCAATTTGAGTCCTAAAGTTATGCATTTGAAATGTGATGACAATATGATATATACTTTTTGCTTGGGAAGTTTGATGAAGTAAGTCAAATGGGGGCTATATTTGATTTCTTGTTAGCAGTTGGCTTTTTCTAGGTTGAAGGAAACCTGGCTTCTCTCCTGACTGTGACTTTGCACTCTGCTGCATTGAAGGTCCTGAGCCTGCAGTGTGCTTCTATGGTTGGGATTTTAATTTTGGTTTTGATTTGTTTTGATCTCTTGTCTTAAAAGTATAGGGGAAATCATTAGTCTGTTAACAGTAGAAAGTGGCTTTTTTTTTTTTTTAAAAGATGACCAGTAAGGGGATCTTAACCCTTGACTTGGTGTTGTCGGCACCACGCTCAGCCAGTGAGCTAACTGGCCATCCCTACATGGGATCCGAACCCGGGGCCTTGGTGTTATCAGCATCACACTCTCCCGAGTGAGCCATGGGCTGGCCCATGGCTATTGTTTTTAATGTTCTAAAAATGAGACTTTTAAGTGGATTTCATGAACATTGAGAGACTACATTGAATATGAAATCCTAGGTCCTCTGAGAGACACATTGCATGTATAAGTAATTGGTCTTTGGGCCAAAGAAATAGTTTAGTTTAGATGTCTCCTTCTGGGGAAGTCAGCCCTGGCTATTAGAGCATCTGACCCTTGAGATCAACTTCAAGTTAGAGTGACATAAAGAACATTCAAGTAAAAAAAGTCTGTTAGAAACTTAAGAGTTTTAAGGACTTTATCAGTGTAAATGTAAGTGAAAGTAAAAGGCAAAGAAATGTATATTATGGGTTGGTAATGGCTACATATATAATTAGTTGATAACTGAACATCTTTACAAACATTTCATCTAGTATTACTAATAGAAAGTAACAATGGATGCACATTTTTCTATTCTGTAGTAAGGTATGCAGACTCTAGCAAATGGAAAACAATAAAAATGTATTAAAATCCCTTTCTTTCCAGCTTTCCTTCTCAAATGAAAAGTAAACAGCTGTAAGAAAATTAGGGCTCATTATTCTTTTATGAAAAGGATGTTTAAAATAAACAAAAAATATATAATAAGTATATATTTTTTAACAAGTAAAAACAAATTATCTTGTTAAACATTTGAGAATAGAAGAAAACAAAGCAGGAACCCAGTAGTTTTACTTATTTATCTATAAAAGGGAGAAAAGCCACCAGGAACTTTTAGTGCCCAAGTGAGGGCTGTATATAGCTATGTCAAGCTTATATATCTGTTAGCCTTTTCAGGCTTTTCCAAAATTAAGATATAACAATCCTGGAAAGTTAGGATTTTTCTCAGAATGAGAATACCAAGTGAAACGAATATTTCCATACTAGCAGCTATCTTAATTTTTCCTCATGGATTTGAATTCATGTTATTTACTCACTTTGAAAACTTTTTATCAAAGGTGTGGTCTCTTTTAGATTGAGGAAATTATCTTCAAATATGGAAGTAGTTGCTTTTGTTTCCCAATTTGAGGGGTATTACATTATAGAAGGAAACTTGCAGAGTAATTGGCTTGTGGAGTAATTGTGTATTGACTCACTTCTGTTGCAGAATTTTTCTAGATCAGAAGGTTAATCTGTATGTTACAGAATTACTGCCTCTTTCTGGGCATGGATACAGTGAAATTATTCCTCCTTTTCTAGATTTGTCTAGATATCTATTAGTGATTCTCCAACAGAATTAGGAGAGCCTACATACTATGGATGGCTTATCTTTTCATTCACTTTCATGATGAATATAATCAAAAGTCAGGGCAGCCATAGGACCCACGTCTTAGTGCTGTAATTGCTGTGATGTAGATTCAACAATTCATCAAGAGTGCTGGATTATGTTGTCAATTCTCTTTTTTTTTCTTTTTTTTTGGTGGCTGGGTGATTGATCTGCTGACCAGTAAGGGGATCCAAACCCTTGACCTTGGGGTTAGAAGTCTGCACTCTAACTAGTTGAGCCAATCAGCCACCCCTCCTGCCATCAATTCTTCACAATAAACTTCTGATACCTCTAGGTAGTAAACATTTTAATATGACCCCTTAATTCTTTTAATTTGTCTTGAAGAGACTAGTTATGCAGGAGATGCTTGGATTTGTATGTCATTCACTATACTTAAAATTGGGTATTGTCTTTTCATTTAAAAAATGTTTATTTTTTTCTGCTGTTTATAAAAGCAATAAATACTCAATGAAAATTTAGCAGGCACTTTACATGTAGTTTTAAGGTTTTC